GATTATTTTTTGTTGCTAGTGGGGTGGGACTGAGTCCCTTGTACTGCGGCCACTTCTGGCCTATTGTACCAGCCCCAGATGACAGGTGAGGGTGATTGTGGAGCAATTGGTGGAATGAAGATTGGCAGGGGAAACCGAAGTACTCGGAGAAAACCTGCCCTAGCGCCACTTTGTCCACCACAAATCCCACTTGACCAGACCCGGGATCGAACCCGGGACGCCGCGGTGGGAAATGATGTCGCTGTTGCTATGAGACCAGGCAGATAAGTCGGCAAAAAATGGCCCGTCTAATCGCGCGCAAACCATGGTTAAGTTCGCTGAAATTGAAGTTTTCAGTCTCGTGGTTAAGATATGAGTTCTAAAGGTGATGGAAAGGTTGCAAACAAGAAAAAATCGCATGTCGCATGCGACCATCTTCATGCAGTCTGTTGCGACAGTGAAAGAGAAGTCTTCGATAATCAAAATCTACCGCATATAAGGATGATAAAATGAAGAAAATTGATAAACTTAAGATTTAAGAGGAGCCAATTTACAATTGCTGACAGAGAATGTTTCCAAATTCTGCTCTGTAGATTGGTTTCCCTGTAAGGCGAAGCAGAACTTGACATTTCTTAGGCATTCCTATAGGATTCCCTGCGATCGTATTTTAAGAATGTCTTTTAGTAAAAGGTAAAACTATTCCTGTAACAGGCCGTTGAGGCCCATAAGGTTGTGAGACGTCGAGGCTTCCACATTTTCTAGACAATCGGCTCACAGATGACGGTAAGTTTGTCAGCCTTACGCGCCGGTCACCCTTTACCTCCAAGATTATTCCTAGTACTCATTTCAGTTTGAGGCTGAGTCGACCCCAGGACCATAATCCGGCTGGAAGGATTAGGAAAACTGAAAAATTTAGTGATCTCATCGGGAATCGAACCCGCTATATAAACAGAACTTCTCATTAACATAATGGAAAATATTTATTTAGAATTAAATTTAAACATTTGTATCAGTGCAGATTATCCATAACTGCAAACGTGTTCGAAGCCTGTTGTCCGTATCTCAACATCACAGAGATAGGTGGGGCGCTGACCAATACAGCTCGGTACTTAGCACCGAATAATCAATCAGTTCATACCTAATGCTTTTTAATCTTCATAATCAATCAATAAATCAGTTAACAGTTATGCACACAATCACTACGAACTTTTGAAGTTCATAATCCGTCAATTAGTTTTATGCGTAACTTCCCTGAACTAATCTTTTTCTTTATCCATCGTCCTGGTTTTTAAGATAACAAATAAAAACACGACGTTTCGGAAACTGGATCTGTTTCCGTCCTCAGGTGAAGGAAAAACACCTTGTTATCTTAAAAACCAGGACGATGGATAAAGTCCAAAATCCCAACATATCAGTGTGTTATACACCATCGTCAGAATCCTATAGTAACTACTTAATCTTTTTCTTTCCTTGGCACTACAGCCCCAGAGGGCCTAGGCCTATCTCCATGAACTCCGTTCACTTCGGTTTTTCTAGATCGTAGACATTCGGTAAGACTCCTTGGGCGGGTGATCAGCTCGTCGCAAGGCCTCTACCTGTACACAAACACAGAAAAACGCACACACACAAACTAAACATCCATGCCCTGAGTGGGATTCGAACCCACGATCCTGGTTTCCAAGCGAGCGAAGACAGGACATCCCTTAGACCGCTAGGCTACCGTGATCAGCCAAATGGAATATTTATCTTTGTTGATTCATTTTTATTGTCGTACTACTTCACGGAATCTTAATTGCTATTTTTATATCTTGTTACAACATATTATCTTTTTTAATTGAAGCATACTCATTCTGAAAGTCGTAATTACTACTTTGATACAGTTCAACAACTCAGCTACCGAGAAGCACATCGAACTAGTAGAACCCCACCTGCTCGGCACATAAAGAACGAGCATGAGACAGCAACATACAACATAGCACGACAGGCTTTACTCGAATTGCAATACGACACAACATATATGGAAGCACGTGGTAGCGTAGTTGGTTGAGGTATTGGGATCGATTCCCCATGAGGTCGTTGGATTTTTCAGTTGACCTAATCCTTCCAACCGCACTGTGACCCTGGGGTCGACTCAGCCTCTAACAGAAATGAGTGACAGGAATCTCCCTGTAGGGTAAAGGGCTGCCGGCGCGTATGGCTGACAACCTCACCGTCATCTGTGAATCGATTATCTAGAAAATGTTGGAGCCTCGATGTCTCACAACCCTATGGGCTTCCACAACCTGTTACAGGGACAGCTTTACCTTTCCCCCCCCCCCCACGAAGATTCCTGGTACTCATTTCTGTTACAGGCTGCTTCGACCCCCAGGGCCATAGTGAAGCTGGAAGAATTTAGTCAGTTGATAAATCCAATGACCTCATCAGGAATCGAACCCTCGACTTTCCGGTTTGTATCATGGTGCCCCAATCAACATATTTTAAGTTTTTAAAATTTAATGGTATTTACCAAGACGTTTCAATTGCAATAAATTAAATAGTCGACGTCCGACTTTTTGAGAATTAAAATCGCTCAATTTTTTAAAATAATTTTTCCAGAATATCCCGTGGCCACTCACCATATGGAACTAATCGCGACGCCCTTGTGGGGGGCGTCCCACACTTTGTAAATAACTGGGTTGTGGTCAAACAGACTCGCCTTTTTTCACTGGAGGGCCCTCACGTTTTTACATGGTTTGAGAATGCTTGTCATCGACATTACATTTCATGGAGACGAGACTTCAGCATTTTGTTCTTCCCATTAGATCGGTAGCGCAGGAAAACTGAATGCTAAGTTGTTCTCCCTCTCCGTATTTCTCAACTGTCGCCCTTGGATAGACCATATGCAGACGGTGTCCATTTACCGCAGTTGGGTGTCACCCGGTGGCAGTAGAACTTACACAGATACAGACAAGGAGAGTCTATAACATAAGGGAACCACACAAAACAAAATACAGTACAGAAAGCAAGGTACACATAGTGGAAATACAAACATAAAGTTATAAAAGGGCAGGTGCTTGTGTCAGTTTCACTGCACTGGAACAAGGACACTTCACTTTACTTCACTTGACTCATTCAAACTCCGCCTAAGGCCTCTGTACTTGCAACAGCTTTCCTAACCCTCTTTCTAAAAGTGTTTAGTTTACAGGAGAAAGACACTATTATGCGTGCAGGTAAACTGTTCCAATCCTTTATGGTCCTATTTACAAAGGAATATTTGCCAACATCTGTTCCTTGTTTCCTGCTTCTAACTTTCCAAATATGATCGTCCCTACTCAGGTAGCATGGTTTAAGCAGGTTATCCCCTACGGCTTTCCAAGCCGGTCTCCTGGTGTACGCCTTGTAGAGGGCGCACAAATGGGCTATCGGTCTATGCTGTGTCAGAGTTTCCCAACCAGATCCATCTGTAGGAGTGGCAAATTTAGCCGCTCTTCTTTGTACCAGATCTAAAGCGCTGACCTGCCATTCTCTGTATGGGTCGCAACATACCGAACCATATTCAAGTATCGGTCTCACTAGTGACGTATATGCTAGACGTTTCGTGTTATTATTGCCCTGTCTCAGTATACGCATTATAAAATGAAGAGCCTTCAATGCTTTTCGTAGGGTATAGTTTACATGATCTACCCATCTTAGATCGCTCGGTATGATTATTCCTAGGTACTTAAAGTTATTGACCTCCGGAAGTAGTTGGTCCCCAGAATAACACGTCAGACGCTCCTTCACCCTAGCTCTGGTGACTTACCGCTTTATTCTTAGCTGGATTTATCTTCATTTCGTTTACTACCGCCCATTCCCCTAATTTATTTAGAACCGTCTTCAAATTGCCAATGTCACTACTATCCTGTATTTTCCTGTATATTATGCAGTCATCTGCGAATAACCGTATATCTGAGTCAGTGTCCTTCCAAATATCGTTAACATAAGCCAGGAATAGTAGTGGTCCTAAAACGCTCCACTGCGGCGCTCCTGACGTCACTCCGACTTCTTCAGATAGGTGCCCGTCTACTCTGACCCTCTGTGAGCGTCCTGAAAAAAATTCCTGCATCCATACAACTATCCTGAAGTCCACTCCGGTTCCGCTAGTTTTGTGAGTATCCTGTCATGTGGGACCAAATCGAAGGTCTTTGAAAAATCTGTTGTTATTGCGTCTGTTCTGATCCCCTCGTCCAGGGCATCAGCAATGTCCTGACAGACTGTGACTAATTGACTTTCGCACGAGTACCCTGGCCAAAAGCCATGTTGGCCCTCGTATAACGAAACACTCTTTTCCCAAATTTGTCTTAGATACCTTGCTATTACATGCTCCATTTGTTTGCAAACCACTGATGTTAAACTGATCGGTCTGTAGTTCCCAATCACTGACCGATCTCACCCTTTGTAAATAGGGACCGCTATAGCCTTTTTCCAGTCCCCTGGAATAGCTCCGTTGTTCATTGTAGGGGTTCAGCTTTATTTGGAACATTTTCAGTGTATCACTGAAGTCAGTTCTAGATGCAATTGTAACCGTACGTACCTCGATGGAAATTGTTTAATAGGGCTATGGACCCGCAACATCTCACAACCCTATGGGCCTTCATGGCCTGTTACAGGGATAGCTTTACTTTACTTTTACTTTATGAACTGTTCACGCATTGTTTTTTCTTTACCCTGGGGGCCTCTCTTCCGGAGAGATGCCGTCCCCGGACTGTGTGGTTGTAAACCAACTTTGTCGTCCTTAGGCTGAGGGTGTCACTATTGCCTTTGGCATGGCCACTTCGCTCCTAGTTATGAATCCATGGGTTGACACTCAACGGGACCAGCACTGAAGTGTCCTGATTCTCTGCTAGTGTGCCTTGGTGAACTAAAAGGGCTTATGATAGAGAGCTATCTCTCATTTTTTTTTTATTTTATTGCCACTGTGGGACTTGTAAGAAAGAGACAGTCGGTGATAGCGAGCGGAGGCGTATAGTAGTTGAAAAGAGCCTCAGAAGAGAGAATGGTATTACAGTCGGTGATAGCGAGCGGAGGTGTACAGTAGTTGAAAGAAGACGCTGAAGAGAGAAGTGGGGGACGGTCGGCGAGCTGGGAGCGAATTGGTGTGGCGAGTGCCAAAAGTTAAGAGAGACGGAGAGGCTAGCCTGGAGGACTAACGTAATATCTATTATCGCTGTAAGCAATATTAATGTAGACAATAATGCAAGGTGTGTGTACTGGAGACCTCGTAATTCATTAACTCCGAAGTGTGTTCCCCTCCCATTTCCGAAGCACCCGTATCCCTGAGACGAAGAACCAATCTCGAGCGACAGTCGTTACAACTCTACTTTGGCGATCGGCTACACAATATTGAATTAAGGCTTTCTGACTGATATACTTATGAAGAAGTCGAAAGAAAGCAGGTGTAAATAAAAGAAAACATTGTTTTGTGGGATCCTGTCTCCTCTAGCACCTTTTACTACAGCCGAGGACATTTATTTTGTCGTGTCAAGGTCAACCCCTGAATCCGCCCCTCCACTTCCTTCTCCTCCACAAAAATGTAGCTACTGCGCAGGAGTGAGAGGTAGCCTTAAAAATCAGTGGCGGGAGGTGAGAGAATGACCTTGACTGACCAAAAGAAATGTCACCGACTGTACTGGACGTTTCTGAATAGTATTTACCGAACAGGTAGTTCCAAAGGTAACGCTCTGGACTTGTATTCAATAGGTATTGGATTCGATTCTCGGCTGGGATACCGGCCAACCTGACAGGTTATTGGTAGCATTCGTCAGTCCCTCCAGGCAAATGCTAGGCTTGTGTCTCAATTATACCCTTACTGTCTCCTTCCAAATACCTTCTAATTCGCATTTAATTCATCCATTTGACAAAATATAATTTGCGATACTGAGCGCCAGGAGAAAAAACAATGATCATATTTAGACAGATGTTAAATCATCCTAGATGATGGATCAGTCCATTATAAAGCCTTAGACGATACGGAAATGTTCGTGCTCCAAGTGGAATTGAAGCCTGAGATCCCAGTGCATGGGCACTTCGAGACCGTGTCATGTGAACTGGCAACTAAGCAATTAATTGGAATACATATTGCATTCCACTACAAATACTTCCTAAATATCTTCTTCTTCAGCCGATTCAAGGATTGAACCATGGTCCGTTCCGAGACTAAAGGATTTGTTGTACCCATCTTCTCGGGCGTCCAGTGTCTCCAATGCAACAGGCTGATATGAGTGACTCTTCGAACGTTGAGGAGGTTTCCTTTCCACTTTCTGGCCGTATCCTTCCACGTACATTATGCCTACTCCATTAGTCTTGATGTTCCTTCACGGTAGGTACAAACTAATCTGTTATTACAAATGCATTCCCACTACGGATATCATGTGTAGGGGGTTTGCGCGTGGGTTACAGGACAGGTTTAGGATTGAATGATTGAGTTTATTGCACCTTATGTACATTCACGCAGTTCGGGGCTGCAGGAAATATATCGCTACCGCTGTTCTACACACTTTACAGTTCACCGTTACACACGCACTAGGGTTCTCAGTCTTCACTAGTCCTATCCTGGCAACGGATACTGTCACTTAAAATCACACATGCATTCTTTTCACAACCTAATTCCTTTCTTGCCATTATTCTGCAACTGTCAACTCAATTCAATTCCTCTGCTCCCAAGCTCATATCCCGGCAGGCTGACGTCTCGAAACTTGACAAACTCTTCTCAACTGAACTCTTCTTTATAACCACTTTGCACGGACTACGCAGAAAATATAGCCTCTTTATTGTTGGGAAGGCGTGTTTATAGCGCCGTTGCATAGCAACGGAAGTTAGTTCAATTGTTACTTGCGTATTCGCTGCCACGGGAATGTGTTTACTGAGTCGTTGCCTAGCAATAAACGTCTATTCTGACTTCACTAATCAGATTTTCGGGAGTCATGTCACAGTAGTATGCTTACTCCATTAGCCTTGATGTTTGTTCAGTGCAGCTAAAACGAATCTGTTATTACAAATGCATCCCATCACGGATATCGGTATGTAGATTATCTGATGACACTGTCAAGCGTCAAGTTATCGGTTTGTAGCGAATAATGAACTGGAGAGAATGGGGAAGGAAGTGGCCATGGCCTGGTTTAAGGTACTGCCACAAAATATCCCTAAAGGGATTTAGTTCTCAGTCGGTGTCCCGATTCGAAGCGGGAACCTCTTGATTCAAGTCAATTCAAAGTCAAAATCACATTGCGACTGACGGTCAGTCAGTATGTCTGTCTTGGTGTCGAGCCCCGACTGAGGCTCATGACCAGATGTTACCTTTTAAATGAAAGTTACTGTCCTGTCCATGTGGGGCGCCCTCTCTGACGAGAGATCGGGTCTGTCATTTGTCAGTCATAGTCGACAGTATTAGTCCATTGTCACTATATTCCTGGAATCTCGCAATAAGGCCTTCGCACTTCATGATATATCTAAAATGTCCACAGTTTGGTCCTGGGCGGAGTATCATGCTAAAAATTCAAGGAGGGTGGTTGTAAGGAATAAATAAATAGACATAAAGAGGTAATAAAGAAATAACGAAAGAATGGAAAAAATAAAGAATCGAATGTGGATCTGATAATTCATAGTTGTTTGGAGTCCCTTTTTACTTATTTAACAGTAGTTGCTGTGTGTACAGTCTCTCTTAATACTATAAAAAAGGTAAAGGTAAATTTGTCCCTGTGCTCAACGAATTAAGCACTACGCCATGAAGGCGTATGGCGAGTGGATGTATAGATCCACATTTTCTTGACCTCGGCACTAGCTGGAGGTGAGTGGTCAGCTTCACGCTCCTGCCGCTTTACCCCCGGGGAAAGAGCCCCCGGTACTCACTGGATAGGAGGTTGTGTGGGAGGCTGGGTGGACCCCATAGTCTGTCTGGACGATTTGAAGAAGAGAAAATTCTTGACCCTACTGGGGTTCGAACTCCGACCCCTCAGTCATCCAGCCCGTAGCCAGTCGCTATACCGACTACGCTACCCCGGCTCTTAACATTATAAAAACATTCCCAAACCTACACAGCAGGCCGCACCATAACTCAAGCGGTTAGTCGCTGGTTTTCCACCGCAGTGGCCCGGGTTCAAACCCGGATCTGGTCAAGTGGGATTTGTGGTGGACAAAGTGGCTCTGGGGCAGGTTTTCTCCGAGTACTTAGGTTTCCCCTTCCAATCTTCATTCCACCAAATTCCCCATTATCATAATCACCCCGGTAAGGTACAATAGGCCAATCAGTGGCCGACGTGCCGAGTGGACCCAGCTTGACCCCCCCCCCACTATGCGAATTAAAAAATAATAAAAAATTAAAATAAAAACTTTGTAGTATATCTTTTGGGGACCCGTATTATTTGTTGGAGTAAACAGCGAATTTTCCATACATTATAGGAGCCCGCAACATTAAACGAAAAGTTCTAAGTTGGCCACCAATGAAACTGAATTCGTGACTCAAGATTCGAAAGATTTCTGCTGTGTCTAGAAGACGCCATGGATGCTTATAACTGAAAATTAAACTAGTAATCTACAGAGATAACATCCGACATCTCTTTCCTACTTTAGATAGACTGTATAAAGGCCTATAGACCAATGCACCTCATTTAACTCAAAGTTTTCGGACTGTTTATCGCGGCCTAGCCACCGGGGGGACGAGTTCGTAAGAATTATTTAAAATACAGGTAACAGGCAACGAAAAACGTCCGCTGCTAGGCAACAGATTCTTAATAAGCAACAAATGAACTGCAACAGAAGGACGTTGTTTTCTACTTGGTCCGTGCCTAGATGTTATAAGCAGGACAATTGAAGCAATGAGTCAGTAGTGAGTCAGTGAAAATTGGTGTGAGATGGCCGTCAGCCTGGGATTTAATTCAGTTGAAGTAATGAGTCATTTCTGGAGTATTAGCCAGCGGGCAACGACGTGAGCACAGAAGCTGAAGAATCCGTTACAAGGAAACGACTAGTGAGGACATAGAAGACTTTATGTGTGCTGTAGTTACGGTGATATTTGAGTGTGTATTTCAGTGAGACTGTTATAGTTAATTGTAGTTACGATCTGTAAGAGGTCAGCACATCCAATTACCAATCCAAACCCCGTCCATAGTCATTCATACACATGACAGTATAGTTGTTGAATTTGAGGTTCTCACAGCTGTGATTGTGTTGTAGTTACATCCAAGAAGATGGCTCTCTTAGAATATATGTATGTATATGTGCACAGATCTGGCAAGACAGTGAGAGCGGCCGCACACCAACTGTGTCCAAGCATCAAAATATGAGACAAAAGACGCAGTCTTGCTTCATTCGTGATTCGTCAGCATCATGACTCAGACCGATGTGAGGAGGTTTTCATAATCTCATTCATTTCAACTGTGCTCCTTTCTTTGCGTCATGTCGCAGACATCGTGTCTTGACTGTTACATGTTTTGACGCATGCCGGTGTGCGGCCTACCTAAGGCAGTAAAGTTTAATAAACGTACTTTCGAATAATGTAGCTTCAGCTGATGAAATATTTCGCTACATTTTCGTGACTCTACGGGACCATTTTATAGCACAATCGGAATAGCGACTGGATACGGGCTGGACGACCGAGAGGTCGGAGTTCGAGTCCCGGTAGGGTCAAGAATCTCTTTTCCGTGTCGTCTAGACCGGTTCTGGGGCCACCCAGCCTCCTATTCAATGGTTACCGGGGGCTCTTTCCCTGGAAGTAAAGCGGCCGGGACGTGAAGCTGACCACTCACCTGCAACTAGTGCCGAGGTCAAGAAAACGTGTATCTCCCCCACACGCCTTCATGACGTACTGCTTAATTAGTCAAGCAGAGGAACAACTTTACTGTAATGTACAGAGGATATAAAGCTGTTTACGTTCCTGCTGTCACCGTACAGCCTGATAGGGACCTGCGACAGTGTGCAGAACTGCCCTTTTCATAATTTTACAACCACGATTTTTAGCTTACTATAGGCTCAGAGAGGCTGTAAAGCTATTTAGGTTCCTGTTTTCACTATACAGCCTAACATGGACCTGCAACAGTGTCCAGAACTGCACTTTTCGTGACTGTACAGGAACACTTTGTAGCTTATTGTAGGTGTAGAGACGCTGTAAAGCTATTTAGGATCCTACTGTCACCGTACAGCCTCGTAGGGACCTGCAACAGTGTGCAGAACTGCACTTTTCACTAACCACAAGATAAAGGGAGTTGCTAATTTTTAAGGGGTTACGGTAACACAAAATTTGCGATCCCCTGCTCTAACTACTTAATCAGCTGTCACTATGCAAAGGCCGTCATTCAAGTTATGAGACATTATCATCAATAAATGCAGCCCGCTCCCCTTTGTAGAAATTGCTGATAATGCATTTTGTTTGTATCTATTTTTCTATCGGTTGTAGGAAATTACCACACCTCCACAGACATGCTTCCGATAAGATGAACTATGACCTCTGAAGAGTCCATAGCTGGGTTTATAAATCAGGCGAACAATATTGTGTCATAGTACTTGCAAGGAAGCTCTTAAGCACAGCAACAGAAGACAAGAAGTTCTAGAGCCAGCTGATTTCAGTCATTTCCCTAGAATGAGTCAGAAGGTGAATGGAAATGCAGTAACTAATGGTTATGCTTCTGAGAACGGTTGTTGTTTAACTAATGGGCTTTCATCAAAAAATGGTTACTCTTCTAAAAATGCTTATTCTTCGTCGCATAATTATTACAAACGCTGCAGATACTTGGACGATGATATCCTGAGGTAAGTTGAAATGCTTGTTGCCTATTAATAATCTAAATTGCTTTAACATTGGACACTATTCATTTTGCTCACAGAATATATTTATTTTATGTATCTTAGAAAAAAATAGCAGCAGTTATTTCCTTAACCTTTAAAGTACGGACTTTTAAATTGTCGGTAACCTGTTGCGGCCGGAATTTAAATGACTCTAAGTCTTCAATATTGAAGAATTTCAGAAAAGAAAACTACATATTTTCCGTTCTATGCAATATAGAAATACGAACTAGAAACTGAAAGCAATAAAATTTTCTGCATATGTGCAAAAGAGCAATTTTTACAAATGAAAATATTCTGTGATTATTTTGTCATGAAATACAAAATATCATCTTTAAGATATATATATATATATATTATAAAATTCCAAAGGACTTACCCGTATTTTTTTCTTGAAGCTTGAGACATGTTGATTTTGTAAAAAAAAAACTCACTGTATACAATAATCTTTTGTTCAGACTGTACGCGAGTATGAAATGCGTCACTTCACGGTTTGTGATAACCGCAGTCAGTGCTCACACTCTGACGCGCGTGCGTCGTTGGCCCAAGTAGCCCTCGACACGCTGACCGTCACACTTTTTACAACAGGTGCTCCTGGTTTACTTTTTTAGCGAACACACGATGTATTTGTTTCCCTTCGGATGGCCAGTGTTGTGAATGTTTCGCCTCTAGCCGACTCAGTTGGGCCCAAGATGAAATTGGCCTCACCCGAGAAACGCCATTGACCGTAATATTCGCCTCATGCAATTGTACAATCAAATTTCGCGGAATTTTTCATGTGTCATTTTTGCACCACATGACTTGTGCAGTCAGTACACATTGAGAATAGTCATGTCGAGAAGGTTGGAAAATAATTTCTTTGTCCATTTCCATGTCCTCCAGGCAACTGCACAACTATTTACCATCCTGTCAGATTTATCCACAAAGCCCATATGCGCATTGTTGTCTTCAGTTACATGGGGTGTGACAGCCTGGCCACATTCATCACGGAAGTTGCCATCTATCGGAGGAGGCTGCATACTCGTCAGAACAGACAGACACACGGCGCTTGCCTTTCCAACGAACAACACTTAGATACTCCTTGTCGGCCACGCCATAGCTCAAGCGGTTAGTCGCTGGCTTCCCACTGCGGCGGCCCGGGTTCGATCCCGGGTCTGGTCAAGTGGGATTTGTGGTGGACAAAGTGGGGTTGGGGCAGGTTTTCTCCGAGTACTTCGGTTTCCCCTGCCAATCTTCATTCCACCAATTGCTCCACAATCACCCTCACCTATCATCTGGGGCTGGTACAATAGGCCAGAAGTGGCCACAGTACAAGGGACTTAGTCCCACCCCACTAGCATTAAAAAAATTAGATGCCCCTTGACTCTTGTAACAATATCCCCCTTTTTCAATTTAATTGATTTGGGGCGAATTTCTTGTGGCATTCCGCGCCTATCATTGCGTACGGTGCCACATGAATTTATTTTCCACTCCAGTACATCATCAAATAATGCAAAACTGAAAATATTGTCCATGTAAATTTTGTGTCCTAAGCCTTCTACTCTCCGAATTAGCTGGTGAACAATGCCATGTGTTGATGTAATTTCTTCTGTTCCCTTTGTTTCCCTAAATATACTGTCATATGAAATATATAGCCGAGAAACTAGCGACATTTTTAAATTTAATACCAAATCTTTTTGTGTTTCTTTGGAATATACTGACGAGAAATCACTCTTCCCTTGAGCAGCACTATGACTTCATCAACAGCAAGATGTTCCTATGCATTGTAAAGCTCACAAAATTTGTTGTTCGGATTGTATTTTGTTCTGCTTTTCCAATCTTGGAATTAATGGCCGTGGGGATTCTTTGCGCTGACCACGCGACACCCTCTATCCGCTAAAGTTGGCATTAACTTCGCCGATAAGCGGCGGTCGCTCGGTATAGTTCGCTTGCGGACTAAAACCACGGAGTATGTTTGTTCGTTTTATCATAAATTAGGTCATCACGATTTAGAGGAGCTTAATTATTTTCAAAATGCAGGAATCTCAAAATGTGGAAGAAACGGGTTCGTAGCATGGAGTTATGATAGAACGAAGTATTGCTCATATCTTGATCAATAATCTTTGAGGCTGTCCCGTTGATCGTGGCCCATTTGAATTATTATTGACAAAAATTTATATAACTCTTCAATTGTAATGTCAGGCTCTGAGCAGAAGGGCATGGAGCAGCTTGGCAAGGCGTAAATTGATGGAAATATCTATTGGTTTCTTCTAAGGAGATATGGAATATTTGCTATAAAAGCAGACTGAAGATGGAAGAGGGCGAGGAATGTGCATTTATATCTGGAGCAGCTGATCTGTTGATTCCACTCGGAGGACCAGTGAAATAATAACTTTGGCGAATATCCGGGTCTTCTATCACGAAACCTAATTTCCGTTTCTTCTGCCTCATGACTTGATGATGTTGATTATGATATATTTGCAAAAGGTTCAATGAACTCATTGAGTTCTTCTAAGCCTTCATCAAATTCCTCTCCCATCAATATTTCTTCCATTCCTTCTGCAACGATAAGTTTTGAATATCGAGCACGTTCTTGAGGTTCCATCTTGGGGGAAGGGGGTTTCCAACTAATTCGAATAAATTATGTTGATTGACAAAGCGACACTGTCACCTGTTAGTAATAGTCGCTAAATATTGATGAAAAACAATTATAATACTAGTCGAAAGAATGCCAGTCCGACACTGATACCGAAAGCCACAGTGAAGAAGACCTCGTTTACTCGCAAAGTATTGTAGCGTGTCGGTTGTGGGACGCGACACAAATAAATTGCGTGAGCCTTCGGATCGGAACGAATTCTTTTATTGGACGCTTATTTGTAAACACACTCATACAATTATTCACTTAGAGCGCTATCACACCGTTAGTACACTCCGGAACTCTTCTGCGAAGTCTGAGCACAACCTGCTTCTGTCTCCCTAGAGTCGAATCCAAAACTGTGAGTACAAAACTCGGAATCTCTTCTGTGACTTACAGTGATTTCACTCGGAATCTCTTGTGATACTTGTGATCTTAACTCTCCGAGTCTCATTTTACTACCGACGGTCAGTCGGCCAGTCTGTCTTGGCATAAAGCTCCCATCTGGGGCTTGCGACCAGATATTTATTACTGTTTGACAGTTACGGTCTTGTTTTTTTTTTTTTGGACGCCCTCTTTGACGAGAGGACGGGTCTGTCTTTTGTATATGCTGCTGGTCCTTGCCAGTGCAGTCTTTCTCGGGTCCGAGTCCCTTGGTACTCGAGACCATGTATTACTGTCTCAAATTTGAGACTTCCCTTTTCGTCGCCTCCTACGACTCTCAGGGTGACGGTGGAGGTATAAGAACCTGCCTCCTCAATAGAAAGCTGTGCTATATTTGGCTGACCAGGTCATGAACTGTCATATGTAAACGTAAATAATATCGAAACCAGTACCGTGATAAACGATTTCATTCCTCAGAGCTAACGAATGAATCACTGACTTGGCCTTGCGTGGTCTTCTTTGGTTTCTACCTGAAGATAACCCATCCTAACTGACAACACTAACAAAGAAGGCACTTGTACAGCGCGGCCACAACGGATTGTTTCTTGCTGTTTCTAACATTCGTACATTAAAGGGTAAACCGGTTGGACTTTCTGATGGAGAGGTTTTCTGCGAGGTAAGAACTGAATTTAAAAATATTTTTTTAGACAAACTTCAGGATTTAAACTGTTAAATGCATGTCTCTCAGAGCCTGATTTAAGGTGGGGGGGGGGAGCGACGGGGGTGGTCGTCCCTGGGAATCAACAAATCAGGAATAGAATTCGCAGATTTTACTGAAACATTTTTGTTTGAAATCAAGAAAAGTTAATTCTTATTTTTAGTTATTATAGGAAATAAACAGAAAGTCTTGTCATGTCCAAAATTTGTTGCTACTAATCGTGGGTTCCATATTTTGATAGCTGCGGGATCTTCAGAGCGCTATATCCGGTCTTGATGTCCCTGTACCAATATCAGTGAACCTTTTTCTCACCGGGTTCGTGGTTTGCATGCTCCTTGACAGACGAAGAAACATGATGAAACCACGCAACAATTAAACATTTTTTCTAAGCGTACCGAAAATTGAATGTGGATCTATGCGTCCACTCCCCCAGACCCCTTCATGGCGTAATGCTTAATTAGTTAAGCACAGGGGCAACTTTACCTTTTTACCGAAAGTATGCATAATTCAAACTGTATATGAAACATTGGCCCTCAGATATATGTTGCTTTGCAATTGCTACATCCCTCTGTGGTCTTGATGTTAATCTGCTAAGAGTACAGTTGTCCCCATGCTTAACTGATTAAGCACTACAGTCTGCTAAAAGTACAGTTGTCCCCATGCTTAACTGATGAAGAACTACAGTTTGCTAGAAGTATAGTTGTCCCCATGCTTAACTGATTAACCACTACAGTCTGCTAAAAGTACAGTTGTCTCCATGCTTAACTGATTAACCACTACAGTCTGCTAAAAGTACAGTTGTCTCCATGCATAACTGTTCATGTACTACGCCGTAAGGACTTTCTTGGGGAGGGGGGCTGGCTATATAGACCCAAAGATATAAATTATTTTGTCATATACTTAGTGTTAGCCAGGGGCCGCGCCATAGCTCAAACGGTTAGTCTCTGGCTTCCCACCGCGGCGGCCCGGGTTCGATCCCGGGTCTGGTCAAGTGGGATTTGTGGTGGACAAAGTGGAGCTGGGCAGGTTTTCTCCTAGTACTTCGGTTTCCCCTGCCAATCTTCATTCCACCACTTGCTCCACAATCACCCTCACCTATCATCTGGGGCTGGTACAATAGGCCAGAAGTGGCCGCAGTACAAGGGACTTAGTCCCACACCACTAGCAATAAAAAATAGTGTTATCCAGAGTGTGTCGAATTCATACGACATAAGCAAGTGCTAGAATCTGTCTATTAATATGGAATCACAT